ATCGCGTGACTGTGCCAGCGGCTGTCTCCTCGCGACATACCGGAGCACGGATCAGCCCCAACGACCCTCGAGGAGGAAAGCCGAGTCAAAAGCCCGAGGGAAGACCCGCAGACTTTTTCCTCGTCTTCGCCGCTAGCCGTGACTTGTCAACCGATGCGTTCATCCCCCGATATTTATGTTGTCAACGTGACCATCGGAACAGTTATTACTGCGACGCATGCAATTTTACGAAGGAAGTTGACTAAAGAATGCGCGGTTTCGCAATAAAGCTGAAAACAATCGTGTACATGCAAATAATACCAGCACCATAGTGCTAGATAAGTGTATACGCATATGTACGCATCGGTTGATATTCGGGATATTTCTGTGACGCGAATAAAAGCCGGCGAGCGAAAGGCGTTTCTTTTCTCTCCTGCAATTAGATTCTCCCTGTTACCGTGGTCTATCAAGACCGATTAAGGCGTGGCACGACTTAAGCGCGTACTTATACCCGACCCTTTCTCTTCCTGCCAACGGAAACATCGATCTGCATTTATTAGAGCGCGATTTGCATCGACACTATGGATTCTCGCGGCGCTGTCGAATCACCGAAGCGCGTGTTCTTTGTGAATCTCGAGCGATCTACGACGAAAACGAATCGTGTCTTCACATCTAGTGTGAATATCTTTCTTTCGTCAATTAATTTCGTTTTGATATCTTGGTTTAAAATGTGGTGGTGGTATTCTGAAAAAATTATACGTGCGGAATAGCTATCCATTTATCGATTACTTAAATTAATGAATTCGGCTGCGCTAGTTAATTCGTTATAATCAGCAAATTATTAATAAAATGCAATTACGCATTGATTTCATTCTTATTGAATTTCTATAATGTCATGTTATAATTCCATATTCAAATGAAGAGCCCAGTTTTAATATTACGAATCAAAATCGACATACACGTAATTGCATTAGTCGATGCAATCAGGATTGCGTTTTGAATTTATAAAACATAGAAATTCAGATTTATATCATTAAAATTTATCCCATGCAATGCCGCGGTGTATCGTAAACTTCTTCTTAATATTCTAAGAAATGAAAAAATATGATAGAGTTTCTGCAATTCTATTTAATATTCAGATTAAGAAGTTACTTTAAAATTGCAATTGTTCTCTGTGCAATACAACGATGTAAGCACAAAATGGATTTTTATACTTTAGAAAACAAGAGAAGCGATTATTTAGTTACGATATATTTTCGGATTAATTAAAAAAAAATTATTTTATATAATGAAGAAACGAGTGCTATATATATATATAAAATAGTTCAAGTATAATAAAATGTAAATATAATATCGCTTACGCGAATAAGAATAATAATTTGTAGCAAATAGCAAACGTGCCATGTTCAAAGATGTATCTTTCTTTTCGATTGTATTATGCTATGTAGCACACTGTGTGACCAATTTATGGTGATTTTTACGGTAAAGAGGAAAGATTTCACGACCCCGATTTCAGTACCCAATAATTTCGTCGCTTGCCCTCACATGTTCTGGCTTAACTCAAAACCAGTTCTGGCCGCAACAAGAGTAACGACGTTGCCGTTAACAAAGGACAGTCTTCTTTTCGCGCGTGTGGCCGACCAAGGGAGAAGATTCAACAGATCGATTCGCAGACCGCAGGCTGTTAGAACTTTAACTAGAGCGCGTATAAACTCCGCTCACGCAGTCGTCAAGCTACACAGTGAGCAACCACAATGAATAAAAGATGGTACTGTTAAGCTCAATCGAGTAGCTCCTCCAAACTGAAGCATCTAACCTTTCTTTATCCCTGCAAGGTGATTCTTTATACTGCAAAAATACCAATTTCTAGTGCCCACTACAATTTTCGGACAATCAATCAAAAATTATACATACGTTCGGTTTTAAAAGTCAAACATTTGACCCCATTTGTAATAATTTTTCAATGAATTTTAGTATGGACTTTGTAATATAATTATCGCTTATATTTCAATTTTGGGAGACGTTTTAATATAAAATATGTTACTAGATTTTTTTATATGCGTATTTCTTAGAAAAAAATGTAAGCGTATACTCACATCAGGAGTTTACGTACCTATCTTTACACGAGAGTGTAATATATAACGCCTCTACTTAAGTTTATAACTCTCAGTACTTCGTAAGAACTTATCTTTATAGATTTATTACATTATGCATGATGTAACCGTCCATTTATTTCAACAATAACACTGTTTAAGATCTGCTTATCGCTTAAATTTACGAACGCGTATTTTTGTTCGTAGTTATACAGCATTTAATGCACTAATTCTTATAGAATGGAAGATATATGAAATTTATGAAATAGATAAATAAATGCAACATTCAAAAGCTGACAATTTAATTAATACGGACACATTGAGCATAATTGCTTAAATAACTGTGCTTAAAAATTGCATAATTATGATTTTGGCTTAAGTAGTAAAAATAACTAATATGCATTCATATCGCTTTATATATAATATAAATATAATAAATGCAATAAAGCATTTGTTTTTATGATTAATAATTGAGATAGCATATTGCAGATGCATCAGTATTATTGCTGTTTGTTACATCTTTTGTTTATTTATGGCATCAATTTTTACTAGCTGCATAAAGCTACATACGTAAAGTGTTGGCATATCGTATTCTACAAGCTATTATATAACGTAAATGAATAACTAACCACTGCAAACTAACTAAACAATTACATTCGCGAAGTATATGTAGAAATATTCCTTTGTCTATTGTCGATGAATCTCCCATACTTATTGTTAACTAACAAAAATCACATTGAAATACATATGCAATACCCTGAAATATATTGTTGAATTCACCGCATGAACGTTCATACACACACGAACAGAGTTCCCATTTTTATCTATTTCATTTTTAAAATATATTTGTGAACGGACATTTTATAAACAACATGACAATTTTTTTGCAATAATTGGTGAGACGTACAGTTTGTACACCACACTTTTTTTTAAAGTATATAGGTATATGCAAGTATTAGCAAAGCGATCGATAATGTTTGTTTTTAACATAGAGGTAAAAAGAAACTTTACACAATTGAAACGATATGGCTGTAACTCGGAGGCTTTAAAGATCTACCGTTTTCCCGGGATCAAGCTACGTAATTCGACAAAGTGCGGGTTGTTTGTAAATCCATTTATCTATAAATCGGGTTCTCACGCCTCACGAGGTCGACGTTGCTGCGATCGCGGCGTGTCCTGCGTGAAGCAGCGAAAAGGACACCGAGTCTGCCGACCACCGTGTGATTTGGAGCGAGAGAAAGATATCGCCGGTCTGTGATTTTCTGAAATTGTGTTCGCGCAATCGGTGACGCGGACGAACGGCGAGCCGAGGTCCTGCCGGTCGATTGAAAACCTTCATAATCCGTTTATGCGCGTACAAAAGCCGGCGTCAGCAAGATTTATATTTATCGCGTCTCTTAAATCAATCATACGCCGATGCTGCTTTTGACATTTCGCAAACAGCTCTTAATTTATGAATAGCCGCTTATACGGAATCTCACCTCCGAAACACGGAAAACCGAAATTAGGTCGTGCGTTCATGTTCGAAAAGAATAAAAAAAAAAAAAATAAAATAAAACGAACGCCCGTCACGCTGTTAAAATGTTTACTGTGTACATAACGATGTCTCGCACTTAATTCATTTTCCAAGCTACTAACGATCGCAAAAAACTATCATATAAAAAAAACCAATATTATCGATACAATCGACGAATGTGTTTTTATTGCTCACTCATAAATCCGTCGAGATAGAAAAGGAACAAGTTAGAAAATAGCATCAACGTGGGCAAAGTTGAAGAGGGTCAAGCCAATAAAATCAAACATAGCTAATTCGTTTAATGGCCATGACCCAAACCTCCCTATTTATTTAGAGAGGGGTATCGACCGCCAGGAGTTTTGGCCTTAGGGAGGCTAACTGATGATCCGCAGTCACGTCCGCGCAAACACGATTGGTGCGCCGATTTAATCTGCAGGATCCTCGAAAAGAAATCTTTTGTGCCGTTATTCCTTGATGGCTGTATTATAGCCGATCGAATTTCTGCGACTTGGATTTACAAAGAATTACGCGGGGACTCGTGTTTTATGACGCTGCCTTATGAATCTCAACTCCGGTATTGCGTAAACTAGATAGCAGATCGTTAAAAGCTATCACGTTTGCATGAAAACCAGTATGCGTGATGTTTTCGGCACGCCAGACGCGTCACGACGTTCGTGATTAATTGCTCAATATTCCGCTGCGTTTAACAACCCGTAATTCATCATAATTATATCGCTGATGTGAGACACGGTAAAAACTTGCATTTCGGCTTTACATAAAATCGATTCTGTTGCTGCATTTTTATCGAGGTCAAACTAACGCATAGGAGGTAACTGTTCGCGTGCGCAAACCGGGAAATAATGTATTTCTCTATTATCTGAATATATTTATTAAAAGGCGGTGTCTTGCGATACCGCGATATGTAAAGCTGTGCTTATTCCAATTCGCGCGTGTTTGTCTTCAAACGCAATTCGTTACGCGCAATCTTCGAAGGAACTTTATGCGCACTTCCTGGTCTCCGGTAATGGAATAAAGTTTGTCGCTCTCGCTAAAAGAAAGATTGGAAAGTTTCGAAAATTCGCGTCATTGAAGGTACTTCGCGTAATGTAAACTTCTGAGATTGCCTGCACTAAACGAACGCAACTTGGAAAATGCGTCCCGCGGACTGCGTAGACATCGTAATCGTGTAAAAATCAATTTGACAATTTGTAAGAAGCGTGAAAAACTCATAATTATTCTCTATTTTCATTTAAATATGCTGTTTCGTTTTGTAATAAAATGTTGGACGACAGTTTAAGAAAGTGTTCGCTTTTGGTATTATTATAAAATAATTATTGTCACTGATAAGCGTATTGTAAATAAATATCAATGACAAGAAAATTGTATTTATTATTGCACGTAAAAAAACTCACCGTAGTAGAACGCAGTCAGAACGGGAAGCACTAAAATGCAGTTGAAAGTCTAGAAGAGCCAGATGAACGAAGAAACACGCTCCACCGATGATAAAAAACGAAAAATATCTTGAATTTCAGAAAATTGTGCTGTAATAAAATATGAGAAATTAGTTTAATAATTTGTAAAAAAATTTTATAATTACAGTGATAAATAAAAATTATATATAATACAATTATATATAATTATATATGCAAAACCTGTTTATAAAACAATATTAATTGTTACAATAATTAATCACATAATAACTAAAATTTGCTTACCAATTGATATCTTGCAGTTGCAATCTATTAATTCCGTTGCTCCAGTGTTTGGTTAGATTCACTCACTTATATATAGCATTAATACTTATATAGCACTTATATAGCACTAATTATACACAATGATATGATATTCACGATTAATTCGTACGGCATTACCGAGTTTTACAAGCACGATAAACTTTCAAAAAAAACGAAAAATAACGACAAGTACGAAACATAAATTCTGACTAAAAACAATTCTGCTTGTTAAAAAATTCAACGACTCAACGAAAAATTGTCTAACGGAACAGCATCGCGGTAAAAAAAAACGACAAACGCAAATATCATCACTAGAACCAAGAGAAGGATCTAATAATCATTACCTGTCTTTATTATCAAATAAAGCAGTAACACATGTGACATTTCTGACGCGTAATTATATACAACTGATACGTTTTCGGACGAATAAATAACGCAACATACGACGATGATACGCAACTTTGCTCGATGACTCCGCCATTTTCGAGATGTGTGCGAAAAAACACACGGACTACGAAACAACTTCATAGCGAAAGCGACGACAAGCGCGACGTCTGACGTGACACGCTAGAACTAGTTACTTCTAGCTATTGTTTTGTATTAGTTTTATGTGAATAATGTTATGGTTATGTGCAATTAAGGTTAGATTAAGGTTAGATTTGATCATACGCACTGTAGTTTCTGCGACGATCACTTATTTTTTTATTCTACATTTCCGAGTTACATTGAAGAAATTTGGAAGACGGAGCAACTTTCTATCGTCGTGTTTTGTATTATTTATTTGTTCAAAAATGTATGTAATTGCATATCAGAAGTGTCAAATGGATTGCTGATCAACGTGATAATAAAGGTAAGTAGTGATAATTAACTTTTTCGATGATATTCGTGTTTGACATGTTTTGACTCGCGATACTATTTACTCAAACATTGTAATAATATAAAACTTTTTAATGCACGGAATTATTTCGTGCTTCTAATGACCTACATTGTTTCAGAATCGTCGCATTGAAAGTGTATCATGCTGAAAATGTATCGCGCTTATAAAACTCCAGAGTGTTGTACGAATTCATTGTTCGTAAGTGAACAATTAGTGCCATATAGAGGAATATTTAGAACAACAGTGGATATCAATAGATTGCGATGGCAGGACATCGACAGATCCCGACGGTGGAATACCAACTGGTAAGTAAATTTTAAATTGTATTTTAATTTGAGGACAATGAAAGTAAAAAATGGGATGTAAAATACGTTTCGCGCAAATAATAGCATTTAAAGAAATGCGAATGACAGCGAATTAGTCTTTGAAGAATTGCATTATAACATTTCAAAGACTTATCTTGCGATTAATTATGTATTAAACAGATAAATTGTTTTTTAGAGCAATATTTGTACGATTAAAAAAAAAATCTGAAGCTCTGTAAAAGTTGAGAGTTCAGTTACTATTGCAATTTATCAAAGTTTCAGTAATTAATGAAACTTGATGCTATTTGGAAAGAATTTTATTATTTCTGTTGTTATTGTTGTTTGTTTACATCTATTTATACCGGTTTATTTTTATGTATATCTAATTTATGATATTTCTGTTTATTCCATTCGTTAATTTTAATGACGCAAATCGAGTTATCAACAAAATTTTAATTGGTTATTGTTAATTCTTTATATCCTTTGCCACGCTTTTGTGCAAGATTTACGTTAAATTCCACAACATGTTGATTAGTTAAGAAAACTTATTATTATTTTAAATATATAAATAGGAGTATATATATGCATTCTCTTCACGGAAACAAATGCGAGCCACAGAAAATTTCTGATAATATAATCTGTCTACAATTTTCTAGATATATCTCGATTGAATGATACACTATGGACGCATTGCTATCGATCCCCTTTCTCTCTTCTCTCTCGTTTCGAGCATTGTGGGAAAAATCCTGTAGTCGACTACTGTCCGTTACCGTACCGTCGAAGCTAACACTGTAGAAGCGCATTACCGTCAAGGGTTCACCTAGTGTAAACTCCTGGGGTTGCATGTGCAAATTGAGCGCGAGTTGTTTAACACGATCGTAGGACCTTGCCGAAGCGGTGCGGTAAGTCGCCGGTCCTTGTTGCACCGAGCACGTACACAACTCCCCTCGTAAGACTTCTACAATAGTCACGTTCGCGGAAATACAATCGTTGAGCCGATTTAATCTTGTGGATTCTCGTTGCAATCTAGCGCATCTACAATGGCAAAGATCGAATTGAGTCTTGTATGGATTCCTTTATCTTCCCCTTAGCATCCAGAGCGCCGGAAGCTTTTATGTAGGACTGAGGTTTTCCTCTTTAGATCAATAAATTTACTCTAAGTATTTCCTTAAGTGTCAATAAAATAGAATTTCTCTTTGGACTTTTTTTCTGAATATAAAAGATGTTCAAATCAAGCTTTTGTTAATATCGCTAGTATTATTTTCTCTTACTCTTTGCATTGTTCTCTTTTTTATCCAACGGAAAATTTAATATCCATATCTCTAAGAAATATTATATAAAATTATACTTATATTTTCTAATTATAATGTACGGGAAAAATCAGCGTTTTTTTTTCTATATGTAATTCTTGGGAAGATTATGCCAAAACGTTCCTTAGAACGGGACTGAATAGCAACAGATCATCTGGCTAAGAAACTCCATTAGAATCATGCCGAAGTGCGGAACACGTCGAGCGTGTCCGGGTTCTAATGTATTTTAATGGAATTCTTCGGCCGGTCATTTCTCTTACGGGCTGGCGCGCACGCCACGGTGGCAGCTTCTTTTGCCCGTGGATGAGCATTAGCGGAAAAGTTACCTAAAGTACCGCGACCCTGCCGCAGCTGCGGACGGTTCGCACGCGGTTTTTACCGCGATGCGGGGGTTAACGCTCTTACTTAGCTTAACGTTCGTTAAGGGAGCAGCTGCCGTTCCTGGACCGTTGGAAAATGTCGCCGGTTTCTCTTTTTCGCGTGTCGGATGGCAGGAGGATAGGGAGGAGCAAGGGGGTGCCTCCGTTTCTCTCGTCCGTGTTTAACTGTGCGCTCGTGGACACGCACGTCTCGTTCTATGCAACCGGACAACGGTTCGTATATCCGGATATACACTTGTATTACGTATTTTCGACTGTGTCGCGCAATGGCAATGTCGGTTCGCCTCGTTAGAGACAACTTGGATTTAAACCGCCATTCTAGCCGTACCAGTCTGCATTATTTAATCGAGTCGTCTCTAATTAACGCATCGCGCCTGTTTAATTTTGTCAGAGCATCATAAGCGTGAGTTGTTTCATTTTGGTATTGGTATATTCAGTAAACCAGTGCAACGAGCACTGTATTATACTTGCCAATATATTCCGACATCAAAATGAAAATTTCTAGTGAAACTGGTATTTGAAATAAATTTATAATTTTAGTTGACAAATATAACGCTTTAATTCTATTATCTAAATTTATTAGATGTAATTCAAATCTAAAATGTAAGAGTTATGTTTGTATAATCAAATGAAAAATAACTTCTTTTAATTTTACAATATTTTACAAACATAAATTTATCTCATTTATTATATATATATATATATATATTTATCTGATTTCTTATGTGAAATTATCCTTCTTATTTACTTAATTAAATTTTAGTTACGTACTGCGAATATACATTTTGTAATGGTATGCCTTAAGGCGGATTTAGGACATGCTGTCAGATAATGCTATGGTATGCTTTATGTCAGCTTGTGATGATGCCCTGATTTAAATGCAATCAGGTTATTCGCGTGTTAGAGAATATCATTGTAGTACGCAGATAGCAACCAAGCTTATTGCAATGTTCTTATTGTGATATTCTGATGCAGCTTTTATTTAAAATGCCTCACTATTAGAATACGTTATTTAATTGCAAAATAAAATGGACAATACCGTTTTTAGAATTATGTTTAAAATAGTCAGATTTTTTAGAGTAATCTAAAAATGACTTTTTATTGGCAAAAATTTGATTTAAACGCTATTTCCGCACAATTGATTCGTTGATGTATAGATTTGATTTAAAAGATTTTATTAAATAGAATTTACTTCACAAATCTGGAGAAATTATATTGCCAGAAAAATTTCATTTATTTGCATATTTTAAAATTAGAAAATTTTTTTAATTTTAATTTAATTTTGTCAAATAATATGCTTTTTAAATTGAAGAAAACACGGCAAAGCATATTTTATATGAATTTTTTATAACTAACAATGTTAAGCTTTATTAATTAACAAGTGAAATATTGCAAATTTCATGATAAAATTAATAAATTCTATATTTAATATTATTTTTTGTTATATTTAGATCGTTTATATTATTTAATGGTATCTGCAATTTTTTTACATTCGTTTTTATCATAAGTTTATTGTAATATTACAATTATAACAATATTTGATACGTATAACAATTTAATATATGTTATAATTTTACAGTCCAAATGCATATGAATTATAATAGGTTACTGCATATGTTAGCTTTAATGAGTGAATTTAATTAATAACCTCTAGAGTAAACACCATTGTCTCATTAAAATAATATGCATTAAATATGAATATAACATTAATATGGCAAGCATTGCTGAAAAGAAAAAGTTAGGTATTCGTCGATAAATGATCATGTGATTATGGTAATGATTGATTGATTTGACAATTTATTAAACAGAAGAAAGTGAGCATACAAAATTGGGAAAATTTACTAAATTTGAAGATTGGTAAATTTGTACGAAAAATATATTGTAATTTTATTATGATAAATTGTTTTCCAATATTATTTTTACGATATTTATTTTTCATTAAAATATGTAATTAGTATATGTACAATTTACCTCATTAACAAATACAGTTAGTTGTTTAAAGATTTTTAAACGCGGCAGATTTGGGTGTGAAAATTTTTTAACAATTCGCAAACGTATGCATACATATTCAGTATATTATTGTGTTGACAGCATTTCCATATAATGAGCAGTAATAAACCATTCAAAAGTTCCAACACAACATAGTACACTGCTACAATGACGATGTATCACGCATCACTGCCCGTTAATGCGGCATACATGGCCGCCTATTAATTTATCGGCGTATTATGCAACGTTAACCGTCTGATCGCCGCGGCTTTATTAAAATTCACCACGTTGACAATAAAATCACTACAGCTACTCGCGGAAATAGCTGTACGCTTTTGTGTTCAGTGTGCAGTGGACAATAGCGGTAAGAATCGTTGCAGTCGGCATAACTATCGTATCACGAAACATGGAGGTAGAAACGTAATTTTCACTGCAGATCGATACACCAGCAGCAGACGCGCGTATACTGACTAAACGAATATTTAAGAATTCATTATTCCTTCGTCCGTCTCGGTTTATCCAGCGGGAAAGCTAAGCCTCGTTGAGGATCGAAAATCTCGAATAAAGCGAGCCATGCATT